AACAAGTTTAAATAAATAAAATAAATATTGAAATAAATAAGATAAAAACATAACTATCACTACACTGAAGACGAAAAACAACACATCTTATCATGCTAAATTTTAAACAGGGCAAATGTATTTATTTCACTTATTTCCTTAAATAATAACAAATGTTCAATGATTAACTTTGATATTTTGTGAAACACTGTTAATAAAATAATAATAGATAAAAAAACAATTAAATAACAGTACAAAAATAAGTTGAATTATTCATGTTTTGGAGTAGCACTATGACAAGATAGTACATCAAGAAATCTTGATTTCTACTCCAAAAGCATGCTAGACTATCAAAAAAAAAATTATTTTAACCTTTTGAAAAAAATTCAATTAATTTGCACACTCGAATTAATAATTCTGTCATATGGCTTTCAACGTTCCTCCTCCTCCCTCAGAATAAAGCCAGGGCAGCCTTGCGGTGCAGGCCTCATGGAGGGCAATTCCACCACTCGTCTCTTCTTTACCTGTCGTAAGTGTTGAGGAGAGAGTTTGGATTTGTGGGCCTCCTCTAAATTGTCCTTCACTTTTTTGAATGCCTCTGTCTGCCATGGGAGGCGCCTGACTTTGAAAGAAACAAAGACACCTTCACTGTCAACGTCCGACTCCTCCGACGACATGTACTCTGGGCTAAGTACACTGGCAAGTTTCTTCTTATCCAGTCCTTCCAGCTTGTCGTCTTTTGCTGTCTTCAGCGACTGCTTGAGTCTGCCTGCTCTCTGAAATCAGAAATAATGACATTTTTTAATTTAAAAATGAGCATGCTTTTGGTGAAAACAAAGAGCAATTAAAATTGATAAGATTAAGATTTAACATTTGATTTAAATGAAATTGTTGGTAGCATCTGTAAAACACAATAGTGCCCATATGTACGATATTATGCTTATAGTGCGTTAATCTCCATTATTCTATAGCTTTAGAATGTATTCAAAACTTAAATGATGCCAGATAAATATGAAGTTGAAATCGGATTTGTGCAACAAATTATAATTAAAAACTGATATCAAAATTTAATTAAAAATGTAAGGTAGGGACAGACTCATTAATGAATAAGAAGATGACATCTGAATTGAACACATGGCACGCAAAGAATATGCTAAAAAATCAAGCATGTAATGAGCAGATGCTAATAATAATGTTAAAAAAATTTGTTACGGACAGGGTGACAGACACACAAGGGTAAAACAGTACTACCCCCTCTCCTTAGGAGCTGGGTAGAAATAGGGAAAACCTAAATAAGCTAGTACTTTTAATATTTTTAACATCAAAAACATTAAGTAACGGAAGATAAAATTGAGATGGTTGCTATCTCCAAGGACCTCACTTTCTACATAGATAATGAAAATGTAAGGTAGCTGAAAAGGGTTTATTTTGAAGAGGAACATTTGTGTACTATTTAATTATGTGACATTGAAGTTTAAAAATGTAAATTCTCTCTGAAAAAATATTAATGAAAAAAAGAAGAAATATTTTCTCTTGGAAAATTCTTGTTACAAAGTTCTGTATCCTGAAGTAAAGCTAAAGGCTGACTGGACTCAAGGGAAAGAAATTATGTACCAAATAGAAATACTTTAAATAGAGAGACTATTTTTGACCTTGAGCCTTGACCTTAAAACTTTGATTAAGGTCACTGCACATCCATTGACCAGTTGCACACTTTCAATCAAGTATGAGCCACAATGTACCAGCAAAAAGAATATATGTTTAGACAAGAATTATTCATATGATTCTTCTTTGACCTTAACCCAGACCTAGAAAAATGGTTCATAATCACTGCACGCCCTTTATCGAAAGACACTCTGTGAGTGACGCATGAGATAGATTGGCCAAGGTGAGAGAAGATATGCTATGGCCCAAGGATCATGAAACATACTTAGACTTCAGTCAGATTTTCAAATACCTGTAAAATGTTTATCAAATATTGAATTGATCTAAAATTTCGTGAATAACAACATATTTATGAATCAAAATTTAAAAACATTTCAATTTTGATATGATAATCTTCTATAAAATTTAAGTACAGCATGAAGATTTTGACTAAAGCTTAAGATGTTTCATGATCCTGGGCCAGGAGAAGAGATCTCGGATGGACAGAGTGATCACAATAGGGCATGCTCAGAGCGGGTGCTTGATTCAATATTAGTGTATGAGAAGGATATGGAAATTACGAACAGTATTCAATCTCAACGTCCATTAAACAAACATACAAAATAAGAGCAGAGCAAACACGGACCTCAGAAATATCAGAGGTGGGATCAGGTGCCATGGAGGAGTGAGCATCCCCTGTATGTATTGAAATTAAGACTATTCCAGGAATTATTGAAAGTAAATTTTGATGGAATTGCCTTGTACATATTTAAATGTTTTAAGAAGAAATATCTGTCATTAGTGCACCCATTTTTTTCTCCATTTGTTAGTTACTGTTCTTTTATGAAAAAACATGGTGTGATCTTCATTTGAATTTATCTTTATTATTTCCTTTTCCATTGATTGCTGTTTGGCAAGTTTAGTGGAGAAATTGAAAAATATCAACACATGTCTGCAGAGATCAAAAGCCAAAGATTTTGTAGGAAATAAAAAAGAAATAGCACTCACTTCGCGTCTCCTGCTTTGCCTTCTACTTCTGTCCGCATGATCTTTGTCCTTTCCAGATTCTTTTCTCCTTGCTGAGTCTCTAAGAGATATGTAATATATCTTGCTAGCACCTAAGGATATAATATATATATACTGATTATTTTCTGCATAGCTTAGACTTTTTCTTCTCAAACATACATCTGATTCTGTAACCCATTCTTTATTAATACACAGTTATTATCAAACTTAAACTCTGAGGGAAAAAAACCCTTGCACAAAGCTTGCAATCAAAATGACCCTGTAAGTTATCATCATATATTCCTTAGTAAGACATGAACTTTTACATGACCCCACTGAAAACTGGATGCCAAAATTTCTTACTTATTTACACCATCATCCTTCCCAACAAGGTCATGTTAAGAGTACCATTTTGAAAATATTTCAATAAATCTCACATTTAAGTAACCACGACAACACTGTTCATGGAAATGAAAAAATAAAACGATACACAGTATTATGTATTCAAGTTTATTCTACTTGTCTGCTAATTTATTTTGACTGTGAAGGAATTGCATTTTGAGACAGATGGGAATAAAAAAAATATCCAGCTACAGTGTATGTTAAGGACTGATATGCAAAGTACTTCAAATTTTGCCGAAAATGCTTATAATAGCTAAAATTTTCCACTTCGTATGAATTCTGTTATAAATAAAAATAATGTTATGCAGACTAGGATCAACTCCCAGCACTTTTCAAAATATTCACCACCGGTATATATAAGCAGAAAAAATTCCAAATTTCACATCAATCAAAATAGTCTATGCCCTTGCACTTTTGATGTAAGTCACAAAAATGCTCATCATTTTAGCGTTATTCTCTAAATTCCTTATTCATGTGCAGCTTCAATGCTACTATATAAATTCATATTCTATACACCTTGTTTCTAATTAATCATTTTCTTTTAGTTTTAATGACAAGATTTAAAAATTAGCAATAGTATCATATTTATCTAAGCATTCTTGTAATTATTAAACCAGTGAATCTAGTCCTCTGGATCACCTGTGCTGCGTCATGTCAAAGCTGATGACATCATAAACTCATATTTGACGAAAGGCTTTCTTCTATTATTCCTCTGTATTGCAATCAAGTATTGCATTTTTACAAGATTTTATAAATAATGGATAAAATAATTAAATTCAAGTTGTTATTTAGGCATGATCATGTTGTTAATTAATTTTTGTGGCTTGTTGAATTTCAATGATGTCACAATTAAACTTCCAATACGATGTATCAGGAATGGGAACTCTAACCTTCCTTAACATACATGTAATTGAGTACTTTTTGCCCTAGTCATTTTGTGTAAGGCCAGTATTTCTCCTATCCTGTGCCCTGTGATTATCATGATCAAGAAGCATTTTTTTTTTTAATTTCACAAACTAAAACATAATAATGGACGTTCTCTAAACAGAAAATATTTTCTACATTCCTTCTTATTTCTTTTGTTTATATCAGAAATAAATTACAATCACAAAATAGCTAACTATTGAAATATAGTAATTTTGAAATAAAAAGAAATTAAGAAACTTAGTTCCTATTTCCAAATACATTGGGCCAGTCCTGGATCCACCTTTGTATCCAACCCCTCTAGCAAATTTAATGTGTCCTAAATAGATTATTTTGTGTTATTGTCTTTGTTTAACTTACCCTCTAGCTCTCTCAATGGCCATGGACACTTCTCAACTCCTCCCTCACTGACAATTACTGCATTAACCAACCTAGTTGTCACTGCTTCATTAACAGGGTCCTTATATCTGAAAAATAAATAAATAGTCAGCAATCTTCAAACTTAATACAGTGCTTGAAATAAATATGCGCCCGACCACCCAAGAAGCACAAATTTTATCACAGGCAAACATGTTCACATGTATTAACATCCGGATGCACGTGTAAAGTTTTCTAAATTAAAAATCAGATAGCTTATAAAAACTCTCTCAAATCAACTTATAGTACGAGTCATGAGTGCCAAAGTGTAACAAGCAAACATGCGAACGTACTGTTATCAGCCCATAGGTTTATGATTGATTAGTGATCTGGCCCCATTCACATCTTTGCTAAATCTTTTAAAGATCATTTTTTATTTTTCCAGGCTAGTTCAATTTTTACAGGACTGACAACTTTCAAACGATAAAAAAGATGCTTATTAATATTCAGTTGCCTTAACAGTTCAATGACTTCAGGATATTGAACAAAAGATAGTGGTTGAATGACAGACAGACCAACTGATCTAAATACAGTCAATTCTCGAATTATCGCCATTCGATTCATCGCCATTTTCGCAATACCGCCATGATTTCCCAAGAACGTTTTTCCTGCTATATAAAATTCTCTTTATAACGCCAAATTCGCATACCGCCATCCGCCACCCTGTTTTCACAACAAACGTCCATTTTTAACTGTCAATTATCTCGATATACCGCCACAGGTGCGTGTGGTCAGTGAAGCGCGACGAATTGGTTGACATTATCCCTGTCGTAAAGCATGCAAAGCCAGACGAGGTACTTGCAGTTATATAATTAAATAAGAATTAAATAAACAATAATTTTAACTTGAACTGTTATAATAATTTCGTTTCCTGTTTAATAAAAATCATTTAGTCAGGGCTTCGCCACGAAAGCGGTTGTTGTTAAAGTTCGCCAATAACGATATTACTTTGATGATCTCTGCTTTAAACAATGCAAAGTTTGCTTAAAAAATAATTATATGGTAGAAATTGTGAACGTTTCATTAACTATGATGCCATAAACAATGAATTTATTCAAGAATTCATTTTAAGTACTATCCGCAATATATCACGACGATCGATTCAGCATGTTTTTTTTTCAATATCAGACGTGCACATTTACATGATTCACATGTACTTATCTTTATTTCATAACTGCACATTTTGTTTTAGCGAAATTGTACATAAAAAAATACTAGAAGTATTTTCAAATTTAGAAAAATGTTTTTATATACATGTACGTACATATAATAATAAGAATAGAAACGGTATTTCTAAGAACGATAACTTTACTTCTTGTTTCCTAAAAGATGGGAAATTCAATTCATCGCCAAATTCGTTATACCGCCATGATTTCTAAATTACAAAAGGTGGCGGTTTAACGAGAATTAACTGTATCATAATTATAAGTACAAGGGTTCAATTTTTTTTTTTTGTCATTTTGGCAGAGAAAAAGTTCAAACATTTCAATTTTAAATTTTGATCATGTAAATGATTTTTGTATATCTGTGGAACTCTTCTTCTAAAGATTAAATTAGTCTAAAATTAAAAATGTCCACAACTATCTGGACAACTTAAGCAAAATCGCTCCAGTTACATTATAGCCTGGGGCATAATAAGCATTAGTATAATAAGTTCATAAAGATTACCCTTTATCCTTTCCAAACTGGAATCCAAAGGAATTGTCCACTTTTTGAATTGCTTTGTAGACCTCCCTTACTGCCAGCTGTAAAAAAAAAACAACAATTTTACATTGAAGTTTCTGTATTTCTCTATTTGATACATTTGATTTAATTATAAATTAGGGTACTTTAAACCTCAGGTTCTTAAAACCAGACATCTTCATTTACATATTCCTATGTAAAACTTTGGTCAGTCATTTTGGCCCCATCCTAGCCCCGGGAGTCATGATTTTAAAAAACTTGAATCTACAATACCTGAGGATGATACCACATGAGTTTCATCTTTCCTGGCAAAGTGGTCCTTGAGAAGAAGATTTTAAAAGATTTTTCCTATATAATGTAAATTAAAGATTTTTTAAAAATGCTTTTATAAATTTTTTAAAAATGCTTATAATTTTTCACTATTTCATAATTATCTCCCCTTCGAAGAGTCCGTGACCCTCATAAGAACAATCTCGAATCCCCTTCACCCAGGGATAATTTGTGCCAAGTTTGGTTGAAATTGGCCCTGTGGTGAAAATGTGATGAAAATGTAAAAAGTTTACCACAACGCCAACAACGACAACAACAGACGACGGACAAATTTTGATCAGAAAAGCTCACTTGAGCCTTCGGCTAAAAACACCATTATGGCAACATGTTTTGGGTGGACCCATCTAAACAAACAGATCTGGGCTTGGCAAGAAAAATCTCGCGACAAATTCAGTATCCAGAGCATTTGTGTTTTTCATTCAAGGTGAAAAATCCAGTCTGCTTGGCTACTTTGTGCTGTTCCTAGCCCTTTTTCCAATTCGACAGCTCATCTTGGACTCCATGCCACTTAACCGGAAGAGAATCTCACAGTGTTTATTTGATGTCTATAAAAACTTGTTTAAATGAAATAAAAAAAAAGAATTGTTCAATGAAAGTTAATTCATTTATTCTTAATATGTTTAATAGAATTTTAAAAAGTTATTAATTCTTTTTCTTACTAGTATGATGCTGTGTACCAGGGACAGATAATTCAGTTTTTAAAAGGCGCCAAATTTAAGTCACTGAAAAGCCAAGTCGACAAAGAGCCAAACAGTTAGACTTAGCGATCTGATGAGGCATTATTTTGTTTAAAAAAATATGTGTTTTAGTGATCACATATACATGGTAACATAATGTTGTGCATGAAGTTTTACATGCAATTTTTTTGTTTCATTTCTTCAATTACGTCATATATTCACTTCGGAGTTCACTTCCGGTTAAGTGGCATGGAGTTCAGAATGACCTATCAAACTGGAAAAAGGGCCATGAACAGCCTATAGTTGTCAAGCAGATTGGATTTCTCAACTTGAATAAAAAGCGCAAACACTCTGGATACTGAATTAGTTGCGATATTTTTCTGACCAAGCCCAGGCCTGGGGGCCATAAACATGATAAAACTTTGAGGAGCTCACTTTTGATCTCAGTCTCATTTTCCCACTATTTATTCTTTTGGAAAAAGTGAGACTGAGAACAAAAGTGAGCTTGTATAAGTTTAATGGCCATTAGGCCTCATCTATTTGTTTAGGTGGGCCCCCCAAACACTTGTTGCCATCCTAAGTTTTTTTTAGTTAACGAGGCTGGGGTGTGGCAGCCATTTTCAGACTATTTTTATCTCCTTTAAAAGAAGAGCTCCATATAAAGATATAAAAAATGATCAAATTTTAAAACTAAAATATATGAATTTTTTCTTTGTCAAATGATAGTTGACAGCTTAAGATACCATATGTAAAAAAATAAGTTAAATCTGGTGGTTAATTTATGATTAATTTGTTGACCCCCCAGCCTCCTTAAGGGTAGGGAAATTTGTTTTCCGCATTTTTTTTTTGACGATAAAAACTTCAGACTCCTGTGGCCTAATATTGACGCCTAGATTTTATATTTTCATTAGTTAACTTTGCATTAGCTGCCGTGTGGAAGTTTAATTCTCATTACTTTACTTCGCATTAAGTTACTGTGTGAAGTTACTGAATGCTGTGTGAACAGGGCATAAGACATGTATTAAGCATATACATGTTTTCACCACAAAACTGAAAAAAAAAAATTAGGTCAGGTGCAAAAATTTCGGGTAGGTGGGGCAGCAGGATTCAAGACTATTTTTAGCCTAATTTTAGTTTGTTCGTCAAGAATGTTTCTCTACACACAGGTCCATGGCAGGATAGTGCACTATATCATATTTGAGACATCTTATACCTAAGGATTATTTTAAAACCTTTTTTAAAACAGAAGATTTTGTCTATCAAATGAAATAATATTTTTTCTTGTTGTTTATAAGAAGAGATTAGAAAGTGATATTCTTTACTAAATATTAATCTATCAAAGTATTAAGGATGTATTCTTCTGATCATTTTACCCCAAGTGTGTTTTCATACTTAGACATGTCGTAAAATTCAAATTGATTACAATTTCTATGAGGTATTTTATGGTCTAGTAGCAATTTTAATGAAATTCCCCATCTTCTGTTTTGGTCTATGTTCAAAGGGTTGAACCTCTCTAAGATGAACACTAACATGTACACTTTTCTTCTCTTTAAATTATTCCTTGGATATTACACTTTCAGAAAAAAATAAGCATTTGGAAAGTTTAATGCATGCTTTTCCACGTTTCATAAGAATACATCCTTTAGTTTATTTGTATGATTCCAATAGAAAAGCTGTGCATTAAGTTACAGTTTACTGTATTGTATACATTTTTAGTCATACTGTTTAAAAAAAGAAACAAACTTACTTTACAAGCATTTCCAACTTTCCTTTTCTCTTGTTTGTCATCTTTCCTTTTGGGTGTCACAGTGATATTGTAATTCTGACTGAGTTGCTTCAGAATAGCAGGTGATAAGTCTGTTGAATCTCTAAATAAATAGATAAAGAAACATTAAGGATAATCTCAAGTGATACAGATATCAGATATCACTAAACTGTCTTACTTGACTCTACACATATTATTTTGGTACTAAATGCAACTTATAGGCAAATCTAAAGATTTGGGGGGGGGGGGGATTTCAAAATGTATTTTTATAAATATTTCTCACATGGATATATTATAGCTGAAATTCCACGCAAGCGCAGGGCTGCCGGAAATTAATTTTATTTTCCAGAACTATTTAAAAAACTATCTTTCAGATTCTATTGACCGTTTATTACACATGAATAAGAATATAGCATGACAAAATACTTCAAAGTACCGCAATTAGTTTAGGAACAGAAATAGATCATTATAAGGATTTATTTTACTTCAACAAATATCAATTTCATGAAAGACCTCTTCTTCTTAAATGTTATAAAGCAACTTTATTCTGTTGTACTCTCAAACATCATGTATTAAATCTTAAAAAAAAAAAAAAGCTTAGTTTTCATCCCAAAAGAACATGCATACAGGCCTAAGAGGTATAAATAAGTTTTGAAAATAAAAGACTGTATGTAGAAAATCAACTGAAATGTATTCATCAAAGAATATGTTTTTAAAGCATTTAAGTAAATTATTTAAAAATCAATGTGTACCATTTTTTTTCTATAAACAAAAAACCATGGCCATTAATCAACATTTATTAAACATTAGCACAGCTTTAATAATACTATAAATTCTTAAGTTTACATTTTTATTTCCATGTCCATTCATTATAAACAATCGCTAGATTTTTCTTTTAGACATCGGGTTCGATGCCACCTGACTTTCTAGAACTTTTATCTAATAGCGAGATAGGACATAAACAGAAAGGATTTTACACATTTTTTTTTATCAATGACCAAAGCTTGTTTCTTTTATATCGCTTAAATCAAGTTTTGAATGGAATATTTCATAAATTATGTTTTACGAAATGAATAAGCGCTTGCTTGATGTCAGATTTTTTAAAATGTCAGTTACTTCAATCTGCCACCACTTTTCTCCATTCACTTCAGTGCTATTTAGTTACATGTTTCTGTATTACCATACCGCGATGAAATGAGACTCTCCAATTAAGGAGGTGAAAAAGACTTGATGCAAGTGAAATCTGAATAAATATTTTTTAAAATGTCAGTTACTTCAATCTGCCACCACTTTTCTCCATTCATTGCTATTTCGAGGCTGTTATTGGAAAATGAAAGTAGCTTTTTAATTTAATTTACTTTAATTACTATGCGAGTGAAATCTGAATATAGTTTACAGACATTCCCTTATACCTAGTGTATTCCTTAAGGCTTTAGTACACACTCAGTTACTGACTGACAGTTGCAGCCGTTTCAGCGTTTATTTGCAAAATTTGTTAATCTATACATGTTATAAGTAAAGTTATGTAATTCTACAACTATACATCATTGACAAGTAAATGTATTTTTATTATCTTTAATACTGATGCGTTATCTTATAATGATTTAAAATTACATATCTGAATCATTTTTAAAAACACCAATTGAAACCCTGTTTAAACATCAGAGTAGTTATTGAAATTTCTATGTGAATTTTACTTAGAAAATTTTTTATGCATTAGAGGAGTTTTGCTGAAATAATGGTTCTCTGTCTGTTTTGGTTGAGTTAAATGTATATGTGTCTTAATTCATATTTAAATGAAAAATACAAATTCATTTAAAAATTTTATTTTAAAATTTCAGTGATAAACAAATTTTAACACATTGTCAATTTTACATAAAAAATATTCATCAATTTAGTTTTCCAAAAAGTAGATTTATTGATGAGTTTTTCAAAAAATGAAAGTTTATGTAATTTTAAAAAAAATACTTTTTTCTAATTTTTAACTGTGGTTTCCCATAATTTAATTATGTTATCATTTGAAAGAAATTAATTAGTGGAGTATGCATAACAAATATGAAGTCCATATCTCTCATGGTTCAAAAGTTATGGTTGAGGTTCAAAAAGGCTATTTTAAGCGTATAGGTCACATTCAAGAAGGTCACAAGGTCAACGACCTTGGAGCCATTTGAAAGAACATAATGAGTGAAGTAAGCATACCAAATATGAAGTCTTTATCTATCATAGTTCAAAAGTTTTGGGGAAGGTTTTAAGTTTGAAAACAAAGCTTTTTTTAGCATAAAAGTCACTGTCAAGGTCATAACGTCATTGACATTGGTACATATATTATTGGGACAAATTTAATTAGTGGAGTATGCATACTAAATATGAAGTCTCTGTCTTTAAAATCTTGTCTTACATTGACATATTCACATATAGTTGTCTTCTATTTATATAAGTCTCCAATATTAAATAATATGGTGACCTGTAAATTTTTTGCATATTTAGATTTAAACTAAATTACATGAAAATAAATGCAGTTAATAGTTTTTAAACTTTGAACCATTAACATTGTAAGGGTGGAAAGACCTTTAATAAATATAGTATTGAAAACAAACTACATTCAGTACATTGTGACGGAGGAATCTCGTCCTGGATATGCTGTAACCCCGGTGACCATAAACCTTAAATGAATTTTTTTGTACTAGTACTACATGTATACTGTTGTCTCATGATATCGCGGTACTTAATTTTTTTGCATAAAACGTGTTCTAATTCTTAATTTTTAATGTAACTTGCATGAAATAATAATTACAATTCTAGCATTGGCCTAACTTTTTAGTGTCCAATTATTTTCCAAGCTTGCATCATTTCATCGTCGCAAACCATGGCCAAAATGTACGATCCTCTCCCATTCTTGTGGTGGTTGAACAAGGAGAAAATTCTTCATTGGTAATCATTAACATATTGACCAATGCGAGTAAAGCATATTCGGAGGAACCACAACCTTTGAAACCAATCACAATGACCACAATGAACCACAATGAAACCACAATGAACCACAATGAAACCACAAGGACATCTTAATTTAATTTTAATGAATCTATATATTATTTATATTTATATTTTTTTTAAATAAAGGTTACAAACCCCTTTTATGTCTTGAATTTTAAACATAAAATAAGATTTAGGAAAAAATGCATTAAAATAACTGAATTTTTGAAAATTAAATAAATAATAAACTGGGATAATCATTTATCAGTAATTCAATAAATATTTCAAATATTCCCTTCAAATATTAGTAAAATTCTGACTTAGAATAAATTCTATTTTAAAAAGCCAATTTTCCTTTCAGTTGTTCATTAATGCCCTTCATTAATAACTGTTTATGCAGCAGTTAACTTATTTATTTGTTGATATTGCATTAATTTTGATGGTTTTGGTCCCATACCTCAGGCCCTGTGGGTAAGAGATTTTGAAATCCAAAAGTTTTGCTCCCCTTTACCTATAGATGATTTGTACCCTGCCAAATTGGCTGAAATTGGATAAGCTGTTCAAGAAAAGGAGCTTAAATGGCCGGTTCAAAAGATTAGGAAACAGACGGACAAGAAGCACAACGTCGGATAATAACAGATAGAAATAGGTCACCTGTGTGACTCAGATGACTAAAAAATGCATATAAACCATATATAGATAATTAAAATTAAATTAAGATGTCCTTGTGGTTTCATTGTGGTTAAAAGACATACCCCAGTAAAGGAAATAATGTTCTTGTATACTAATGACATCAGTTGTTCATTTCAATTGCGATCGAAACAAAACTTGACACTGATTCAAGAATACGACACTTTTTGTGATCAAGCAGCCACGAGAAGCCGTAGGAGAGAGCTATATGCGGACTCTGGACCGTGGCTTGAGACGATGGCATCATTTTATTTGTTTTTAAAACAGGAAGTCTTTTTCACCTCCTTAATTGGAGAGTCTCATTGCATCGCGGTATGGGAATACATGGAAACATGTAACTAAATGACACAGACCTCAATCTTTTTTTTTTAATTTACAATGCAATTCTACATGAAAAAGTGAACAATTTTATAAACTTAAGACTTTAAAAGATGAACTTTATTATAATTTTACGATGTTATAATTCTAATTGTCTAAATATAAGTAAAACGGGGCTGGGAATCTTGTTTCTTTTTCAACAGGATGTTTCGTACTTTTTTATCATCAAAAACTTAAATATTCACATTGTCGATCAACAAAAGGAATATAGACTATGTATCAAATTAAGGAACAGTTACATACTTTTACCTCCACACCTGGGAATTTATGGAGATCCAAAAATTCTAGAAATGAAATGATGTTCAACAGAACCCTTGTTGAGCCTGTCCAAGGACGAGGTGCTGGGCCTAATATGTGTATTTCGATCCCGACCTGTTTAACAAGAACACCATACGGGTCTTATGGCATCTTATAACAGTCAGGCCGAAGCACTTTATTCCACATGTCCCTGTCGATCCCCACCCCTCTCTTTTTGTTAAAGTAAGGTTGAATAAGGATACTAGAAAAAAAAAGTGACCTACACCACTTTCACCTCCTGAAATATGGCTTTCAAAGTTCGGTTGATTCTTTTTTTTTGGGGGGGGGGGGTCCTTGTAAATACTAAATTGAACCTTTTTCTCAAAGACTGTCCCTCCAATGAATTTCAAAAGTCCAATCATATATACAGTTACTTTTGAATGAAAATTAATGTTCATTGAAATGCTGGTTGCACCCGACCCCTCCCGAACTTTTTTGCTTATGGATAGAACGGTAATGTAGTATTGTATGCAAAAATGGTACTGAAAGAAGTTGGTTTTGAAAGGTAACAGGTTCGTTCACCTGATCTACCTGTTTGCGGAAGTTCGTTCGCCCGAAATATCTTGTTCGGATAATATGTGGTTCTTCCAATACTTATATTTACTTGTAAATATAAACTCATATAAATTAAAAATAACAAATATTTTTTTTTTATTTATTTCCCTTACAAACTTTGGATATTTTTTTTCTCTAATTCTGATACGAGGAACAATGACTATTTAGTCTTACTTAATTTTTTATTTAATTCTAATGCTTTTTGAATGATTGAGTGTTTACACTACAGTTAATTTGATAAGTATTATCAATGTTAATTAGAGGCATAAGTCTGTATTTTTTTATCTTTTAATAATCTCCTTTTGATCTAAAAAAAAATTCTTTATAAGAAGACAGAAGATGAAAATTCAACATTCCACTATCAACCATCGAAATGGCAGAGATCAACCCCCCTTGTGACAATACGCATAACGTCTGACCATGTTGACGGTCTGTTTTACTTCGTATGTACCAAAAATTTGGAAAGAAATTCGTTTACACTACATTGAATGAGGGCAAACGGACCCTTTTGGGCGAACAAATTTCAGGGCAAACGAACATGGAACCGTTTTAAAGAAAGCTTGGCCCCCTCCCTCCGACGAAATGACTACGATTTTCGAGTTTGGACAATGCTCCTGACTTTTTTGCTTTTCAATTTTTTCAGGTACGGGTAAGAAAAAAAAAAATCATCTGCCCCTTTCAAAAAGGATGGTACATCACTGTATACAGTATCAAATTTTAAAATTACCATACCCCCCAACCATCCCATTTTTTGACAATAGATAGAAAACATTGAGACTCTATATACGCCTGTGACCTCACCAGGAAATATCACGAACATGGACAAAATTTCAGCCTTAAATTTTCAACTACATTTTTCCATTTAAGGAATAAGTTTTTTTTTTAATTATCAACAAAATTATAAAACATCAGTTCCTTTTTAGCGACTAGAGAGATAAAAGATAGGTTTTGGAGTCGAAACCTTTAATTATTTAAATTCTTTACATTTAGACAAAACACAAGGCATGAACCTTATCAAAATATTACACTATGAAGTATGTTAAGTCCACTCCTTTACCCCGTTTATTCAACAAAAAAAAATTATGATGATCAATCATTTTTTGGCGGATCATTAGACATGTTAAATGAAGTCTTATTTCCTTTAACGAAGTTCTTTAATAACCTATGTGTTGTGGTTCCCTTTCAGCATGTTCTAATACAGAATAAAAGTAACATGCTCACCGAAAACAGATTTTTTTAATCGTTGTTTAAATTCAATTTTATAATTAGACAATTATGAATTGAACAGTTAACCATGGAAGACAACTTGAATATCATTGGTCAATTGTTATCACGTGGACAACTTCAAAATCTATTTGATGGCCACTTTAGACCGGTTCAAACCGGTTTTTGCGACGCCATTTTGGAAAATTTGAAGTTTCAGGAAAAAAAAATTAGTAATTTAAGAATTACCAAGGAATATTTCAACCTAATTTCATGCAGCTTACAATATTCCTTTTTTTCAAAGTTATGGCTAATAATGATTACAAAAATACAAACATTTACATACACATATTAGCTAAACTTCGTTGAATCTACTTCTCTGTGCATGATACAATGAATCTAATGCCTCTATGAAATTTGCTGTACTGATAAGATAAATATCTGAATAATACATTCTTTGCTTACATATTCTACATCAATTTACTTATTTCTTAAACTTATAACACATTAGAGCACATTATTCTTACATTAATAGTTCCATACAAATATTACGTATTAACGAGTATGTAACAAGCAAACTAAGAAAAATGGAACATATATGTCATTTTAAATTACTGATGCTTATCAAGAAAAGAAAAAAGTAGTTTAAAGTAATAACTTTTGTAGTGAGTTTTCAACTTAAAGTTTAATTAAAAAAAAAAACAAACAAACAAAACACTTACGCCATTGTTTTCCTTCGGCTGCCTCTCTCAAAAATGTTCAAGCGTCTGTTTTTGTCACGTGTTCAAGATTTCGTCCAATCAAGTAATCTCTAAAAATCACGTGCTTGTTCTATCCAATTAAATCAAGCCTAGGGGACGCGATATCGGTTTAGCGCCTTTTTGACTCAACCAATGAAAACACTGCAAGGGCACGCTACGCCATCTTGAAGAGAATCTAGAAAGGGGCAGAGGCGAAACAAGGGAATCTTTGAAGTTTAAGGTAATTATACCACCAATTAAGGAATGTTTTGTACTGAAATATGTATAATTAGGCAGACATTTTAATTTTAAAGAAGCACTCACTAAATCTATCGGTATGTGCTTGATCTCCCTTTGAAAAAAATCTACCAAATCAACCCAGTTGTAAACAAAATGGCGACGATTGATAATTTTTTTTGTATAGTGTATGTTTTCAAAAATAAAGTATATATATTTATATATATATTTGATAAGTATCTTTTTATAACTGACAAACAAAAGACAAATTAAATTGATCAAACACTCAAGGTTAATCAATTTTAATGAAATTGTTTTTAGCTTGACATGTGAACCTGCATCTGTACGTGATAATGAAATGCACATAGAAATTTATTATGGTATTCAATTTGTGTGCTTAAAATATTGTTTGGTGGATTTTCAGGATTTCAGATATATATATATATATATATGTTTTATCTGGCATGGTTTTTTCTAGACACAAGTCTTACTATAAAAATGTTTATGTTATTATTTTCATTGGAAGCCTGGTTGCAGCATAAAAATATTTATAATGTATGAGTTTTTTTTTTATTTTAAGTTATAAGTAATAGTTATAGACCCCTACCTCCACGACTTTGTACAATACCCCAGCCCCCACACCCTTACGAACGTCTATTGAATAAGAAATCATTAGTTCATTAGAATATACATTATTCCTTTGTGGTATCTTTGATGTTGATAATCGGATAAATAAAACATCACAAGTATTAAGTCGATATGCTCCAATTAAAAAAGACATCAAACCAGAATGTTTCAGATATCTGTAGGTAAACGCCCAGCCTAGCTTTTGTTTATATTTAGTTCCTAAATACTGTCACATCAATCATTAACTATTCTTATTTCATGTTTATAATTGTTTATATCCAACTTGAAAGCATTTTGAAAACACTTAGTAAAATATATCATAAAATCAATGAACTCCGAATCCAAAAAACCATATCCTTTGAAATTTCAATATTTTCTTTTTACAGAAAAAGAAATAACACCTTGAATATTTATTTCATAGTATTTATTCTTTAGTTTACATTACACATGAAAGTATGGTATATATTATGGTAAATGCAAAGTTACAACATATGCAATTAAAAGCAAACAAGGCGAGAACAAAAATTCAACACATTCTTTTAATATCAATTGACTGATAGATGTGTAAGGTCAATGTTTAAGTTATACAGTAACTCATTTCTCACTAGTCCTTACATGTCACGGAATGTCTGAATCCAAGAAAGACACGGCGAATTCTGAACATATAACGGCACATTCCCGAAGACCGCTCTCCTGATTTCACACTTCCCAGATGGACCTGGTCTTTGTCAAAGTCTGTAGGGAACTGAATGTCCTTGAACACTACAAAAAACTTCCCTAGTGCGGATCGCAGAAAGTTGTTAATCTTCTTTCGTTTCCTGTCAAACAAGGCCTTTGTGACGGTTTTGTCAGGGCAACGCTCAAAATTTCCCCTCGTCATCACCTCGGAAAGGTAAACGCACTTTACCCCAGCATTCAAGAGACTTTCTCGAATGTTCATGAGTCTTAAAAAAACGTCTCTTGGAACCGTAGAAGAAATAATGTCATTTCCTCCCACATGTATAAACACACAGTCAGGGTTATACGCAATAACACCAGGAAGAAGATGCTGGGGAATTGAATCGGTCCGAAGTCCAGGGACACCAAACCATTTCACTTCTCCGGGTACACGCAAATCACCATGGGTGAATTTCCGTAGCCTCTCAACATAGCTGCTTCCAACGATAGCAAACTTTGCCATGGTTATAGCTGCATGTAACGCCTCATGTATGGTCTTATATCGTACAGATATCTAATTTTGTAAATCGTTCATTATTCGAGATTACGACAGATCTAGTATTTAATTGCATATTTAATCATGTAATTTTACACAAACAACATAATTTACACTGTAATAAGATTTTTGGTCACTTTTACAGAACGCACCGAAATAAATTAAAATGCAATTATTTTGAAACAACTAGTAATTAAATTTCGGAAGAATATATAGGTTTATTTGTAAGTTGACCCGAACGGTCCAAACTGAAGACAAAACAAACAAATATATAGGCCTAATTATCACAATAAATTAGGGGGCCCTTTAAGTTTAAGGGGTACATGTAGATTTACCCATGTGAACAATAACAAAACGTTTAATAATTTAAAAATTGGATTGTCATTCAATTTTTCTTTATTTCGCAGTAATTTGAATAAAAATTATAATATTATAGAGATCTAATCATATTTTCAAATTTGATGTGTAACAAAAATGAAAATATTCATGGTCATTGTGAACACCTAATAATTGTATAAATTTAAACACAGATGACCCTGGATATATTAAGTAACTCATGCATAAATGTTAAAAAAAATGTTTAATTAATGCTTCCAAGAGTCCATCATATTTCCGAATTACCGAATTAGTCTTTTCGAATCGGGTTCAATATACACTTTAATTTGATCCAGTGCAATGGAGGCAATGTACACCAATAACAGTCCGATTTATTGTGATATTGTTGTGTTTCACAATGTAATAAAATCAGGGACACCCGAACGGTAAAGAAATTTTGATATACTCATTACTTTTTGAACCCTATCCAAGACAACAACATTATTATTTACATAGCCCAATAATCATGACTTTCTGTTAGGACTCGACGGGATTCCGGGAACCAGCTCAGCTGGTGACTTTAGACTTAACTTTAGATTTTTCTATACTATAGCACTGTCAGTGATGACACAAAATATTTAAGGATTTGTGAAAGTCCAACTAAAATCATTCAAATAAACAAAGACTTTGTAAACACATACATTGTTAACACTCCAATACAGAAAGATCATGAAAATTGACTTGACTTCTTTCAGTGTTTTCTCCAGAAAATTTTTGATGCACGGGGGGAATTTCGCTGAATTGAAGGCACGTGGCATGTCTCGGTTATGTTAATTGTACATGTATTTAAATGTTAATATGTATTTAAATGAAAAATACAAATTCAATCATTATTTAATTAAATACATTTAGAACAACTTGTCAGTTTTACTTAAAAATATTTGAAAAATTCAGTGTTTTTTTAAACTAAAAATAGAACTAGGCTAATTAAAAAAAAAATTTTGCTCTATTTAAATTTTCTATAAAGCCATTGTTTTTTTTAATGTTTTGTGTATTGTCAATGATTGTGTAATTTTTGCTTTCTACAAATAGACCCCTATAGTGACATCCACCTTTTTATTATTATTAACCGGTGCCAGACAACTCACCTACAGACAGGTCACCAACAAAAGTGAAATTCACCGAATGTACAATTCACCGACAATAGTGTCGGCGAGTAGAAATTCATATAAAACAATTGTTAGATGTTGTGTCAAGTATTCAGATACAATAAACATAACCAAAGATGTATATAAAAAACGTTTTTCTTTGTCTTTTTTGTATATCCATCATAATGATTCTTTGTCGTACGCATATATATGTATATGTTGCTTCTTGTGAATCCGAGCAAGGTCATAGGTCATCCATATTGGGTGAGGTTTTTGATTTAATAAAGAAAAATTTGAAGCTTGGCCCTTCTTGGGTAAATTTAGTGATTGCACTTGACCTGAATCAGGGATTTTCCACCCCATTTTGGGAATGGGGCCCAGGCCCTTACTATTGGGAGTTTTACGACATTTTACAACTTTTTTGGGAAATTTTATAGCAAGATATATTTCAATAAATTAACACTTATGATAGGTAGCGGTAATGATCAGTCAAAATCAGGGAAAAATATGTATTGGTATTAATGATCTGAGAATATTTGGCAATCTAGCGATAATGTGGACCTCCCATTTTGTTAAACCACATTCATGATATAATAACTCATGTCATATTTCTTTCATTTCTATAAGTTGAATTAAGAGAGTTAATATAAGCTTTCTGAATTTTAATTTAGAAATTTTGATTAGTGTTAATAGATGTGAACATGTTTGCCTGTGATGAAATTGTTTCTACTTGGATGGGCAGGCACACAGTGATTTTGAACACTGTATTAAGTTTGAAGATTGCTGACTTTTTATTTATTTTTCAGATATAAGGACCCTGTTAATGAAGCAGTGACAACTAGTTTGGTTAATGCAGTAATTGTCAGTGAGGGAGGAGTTGAGAAGTGTCAATAGACATTGAGCTATAAGGTAAGTTAAAAAAAAGAGAATTAAACAAAATATAATTTATTAATTAATGGTTGTAAAATGTAGGCAGGAATTTAGAGTTAGCTGAAGTACGAGGGTCATTCAAAAAGTTTGTAGACTTTTGTTGTAACTTTTTTATTTAATGTCATATTATATCCAAATTTGGTACAAATATTTTAACAACAGATTAAAATATTTTGAGTAAAAAAAATGGAATGTATCTTCATATTTATTAGAATTACCAAGGATTTTGAACAGCAAAAATGGGGTCAAGGAGCACCGTCAAGTAATTTACTTTCTTTCTTTTTATAGTATTTACAGCCATATCTTAATAAGTGGAGCTGAAACGAAATAAAATTTTCATTTTTAAACAAAGTATTGCTGTATTAATAAAAATGAAATCAGATTATGTAATATGTCGCTCCATTTAAAAGATATCACGGAGCAGCAATTAGCAATAAAATTGGGGTATGTTTTTTAACCACAAGGAAACTCAAGGAACCCCAAGGAACCACAAGGACACCATATATAAAATCAATTACTCTAAATATGGTTTATATACACTTGTAAATTACAAAAAAATGTTTATTAAAGTCCCAATATTTTTACCGTACGGTTACCTGAGGTGGGGGAGTGGTCTAGGTAACAGTGGTGTTTACAGGTAGTCTGTGTCTGGTGATCAGGGTCAACATTCTGAGTTTCGTGTCTAAATTTGAATGAAACTACTTGAAATAATTGAAATATTTCATTTAAAAAAATATTTATTTATACTTTCAGTGATATTTAATGAAGAAAACAGGTTATTTAATAGAAATATCGTTTTTATATTTTAAAAAAAATGTAAAATTAAAGAAAAGAACACATACATGTAGTAAAACTACAAAGTAATCATATTTTTTTTAATTAAACTTGTGTAAATATCAAGATTTAAAAAAAAAAAAATATTCCATTCATATATATATATATGCTTATCCGTTGTGTGAACATATATACAATGTACCGCGATAGGGATATTGCCTAGTCTACGTTCTGACCAACAATAGTGTCCAAAATATTCACCATTTCCGGGCATACGTGTGTTTAAAATTGTTTATTGTTTGCAAGATTCTTAAATTCTTTTAAAAATTGATCTTCGACTTTATATATCCACTTTTTTAATTTCAAATATTGGATATTGACAGACGTTAGGAAATTAGAATTAAAAGTTACAATCTCGAAACTCGTGTTTCTGACACTTCATTTACAACGGAACATGCTGTAGATTGTATTCATATATAAGAAGATAAAACTTCGGATAAATGAATTTTTTATCCATGCTGTTTGTGCTAAATATCTTTTCTAATTAATCATATTCCAATTTTAATCAGCAAATAGCGATTCTGTGCACGAACCAGTCTATATCGCCTAAAATACAATATAAATTAGCCGCATTGAGGTTGAATGTAAATATTTTATGAAGTCATGTTGTGATTAAAGCGGCACTGTGACGCACAAAGGGGAAAATTGACAAATGTAGAATTTTCGCATGACCTCTGTAAATTTTGTTCAATTCCTACAAGTATTCAGTTTCAGAAAATTACATGTTTCAGAACCTAAAAATGATATTTTCATTGGGAAAAATAAAAGTAAAAAAAATTTCTGTCTGTCCCAGAACGAAAATATTGCAAAATACACTGGTACTTCTTCCTCCCTATTGTACGTGTGCGCAGAAAAGTGTTGAATAAGTTTCCATAGTTACCATGGTCTCAGTTATCCACGAATGAATGTAAGAAGACCAAAAAATTAGATTTAATCTTTTTTAAAAAGTTTTTAAAACATATTTCTCACCTTTGCATGCTCCAGTTGAATGTTGTTTACAAGTTTGAGATAAAAATAAGAGCTGCGTGACCTTGACATAACCGAAATAACGAAACGGTAGATACAACCTTTACTTTTCCGGCACTTATAATGTGCAGTCAATTCTTGCAGTTTAATTGTCATATATTCGCTAAATACTCATAATTTCATAATTCTTTCTCTGTATGCTACAGATATCTTAAAATTACTATATGATTTTGACTCACTGTGCCGCTTTAATTACTCTCAGTTGATTTTGAAATAAAATTTTACCAAGATTCTTTTTTTCTGCCCCCCCCCCCTCTCCCCCGTGTATACAAGGCGGCTACATGAAAGCGTTGACGCGTGACCAGGCGACCGTTTTCAAAGGACATAAACTCAGACTATCAGGTAGCACGGCTAGCTGGCCTGTCAATCAAATCAGAAGCAATTGTTTTTTTTATGAATGACAGGCGGTAAATTATTGATCTTGAATCAGGTAGATTTGGGGGACGTTAACATAAAATTGGGTGTTTTAAGTCAATTAAGACGTGAATTGTCTTTAAAAGGTAGCACTACTCAGCCAATTACCGTAAGGCAGAAAAAAACTAAAAAATCTCAATTGAAATCACTTATTTCAGCAAAATTATGCAGGTATAATTCATAGTGAGATGTATAAAATGTTTATGTATTATTCAACTATATTGTGTATTTCAATACACAAATCAAAAGTCAATACCCATTACCCTAGAAAAAAAACCCTGTACCACTAGGATAAGCCAGGGTACCTACAGAATATCAGAATGAGAATGACATTTCATTCAACTTTTAAAAATTCTGAACATAGTTTAAATGCATTTGCTAGTTACAGTTGATAATTACCGGTATTTATTAGCTCACCTGAGCCAAAGACTCAAGTATACTTTTCTGATCACATATTAAGGCCACATCTTTTTGTTTTCTTGGTTTTCAGATTTTTTTGGAGGTGGTTGGGAGAAATGAAAATAAAATTAAATGAAGCTTGTGTGTGTTCATGAAAGAAATACAAGTCTGAGTCATGTAAGAGTATGTGCGTTATATTTTTTTAGGCATAAAGTTTTGTAAGTTAAATCATCATACATCATGATACATACAAGTGCCCTGATACATACAGTTTACTGCATAACTTTCAGGATGATTTACTGTTGAATTAGGCAATAAACAGATAGTGAACAATGTAGTTAAGAAATGCCGATAATAACACTGAACTGGATGTCATTGAGGTTTCAGATTTATTGGGATACTTAATAGTATTATTTGGATACTGTAAATCACTTTTTAGGGAACTTTATTTTTCGTAAATTGGGGAAAATTAAATTCTTGTATAATGTTCATTAAGATTATATAGAGAAATAACCACATGAAAATTTTGTTTCGCTAATCAAATGAACAGAAAATTGCAATGTTACCTAGGGTTTCCTTGGGGTTCTTGTGTTTTGTTTATTCATGAAAATATGCAATGAACAGTTGCAAATAGTTACAAAAATATATAAACCATTTTTAGATTTAAAAAGGTCAAATTAAGTGTCATTAGAGTATTTTAGAATACTTTTAAGGGTACAGTTGGATGTCCTTGTGGTAACATAAGGTCATTCTTTGGTTCAATATGCTGGCCTGGTATCATTTTGTTTTGTGTATTGCACAATATGCAATAATCAGTTACTATATATGTAAATGCAAGTATAAACCATATATATTTACATGTACATTTATTAAAGTCAAATAAGAAGTCATTGAGATTTCTAGGGTACCGAAGGGTATTCATTTGGAACCTAGCTTTAAAGCTTAGTTTATTTTATGTAGGTAGGTTTTATTCGAGTTTCCATTGGTTCTGTGTATTGAAATAGTTGCAGGATAATTTTTTTTACACTATATGATATATAATCAGATTTCCACCATAAAAAATAAATATGAATAATTGTTTTTTTGAAAGGAGAAAATGCTACAAATAGTGTTTGAAATTAAGAACATAAGTATAATTTTGACAAAATTTCTCAACGTTCTCTTTGACGTTGCAATGTTGGTTAACCATACTCCGTGGTAACAAAACATGTTGGTTGAAATTTTGGCTAACATGAGTTCTATTTAATCAAATAAAATGAAACTTCACACTTCGACAAAATCAATGTTTATGTTTACGAAAACGTGTTGATTTAAAATCTTTTAATAATTTATATGACTATGAGAAGCATTGTCTACATATTTTTTGAATGACCTTCCTTATCACCTTTCCTGTCATTGAGGATTAATCCCCTTTAATTTTATTCAATAAAAATCAATAAAAAAACAGCCTATATTTGTTGGAAAAAAAATTATTATCATAAAATTTTATTCCTTATGGTAACCTACAGCATATTTTTTTAGTTTTAAAAATTTACTTGTTTCCATAGACTTTAATGCAGTATTAAAAATTTATTACTGCTAAGGTAGTATTTTTTTGTGAAAAATTTTTCAGGTTAATCCTGTCATGATAAAAGATGTAGAGCCACTTTGGGCTTTATTCGGCCCTGAGAATTTCTGAAAATTCAAAACCGCTCAGTTTAAGTTGCAAATGCAGTATTTATCACTTGGATTGTTGGTGACCATGTATCTATTAATTGTGACGTAATTTCACATCTAGTCAATGCATTATGACGTCATAAAATGCGTCATTTTCCTAATATCCTGTAAATTCCTTTGAAAATGACCTAAAATTGAAGCATTTTTTTAATATTTCATATAGACCACAACCTCCGATCCAAAATTTCCCAATATATAATGAAAGGTCTATTTCTGAACTTCAAAAATCATGTTTTATTTTTTGGATCGTGAACTGTGCTCATATTTTAATTCTTTGTTGAAGATAGTCAAATGTTTTCTGTAAATTTTCAGAACATTGCAATTTCTCTAAGCCTGTTTTCAAATATTTAGATTCTCAAAACAAAATTTAATTATAGAACATGAAAGCACCAAGTGTCTACTTTATTTTGATATATGAAAAAGGAAAGAGGGTGATAGTTAATTAATTGATATAAGTACAGGGCCATTTTATGCATAAGATGGCTCTAGCTCTTTGAAATAGTATAATCATATTTTATGTACACAATTGATATTTTATGTTAGAAAAAAAAGTCCTAATTTGGGTCATATAGATTGATGTATAAACATGATAAAAAGAATAAATATGGTCACTATAGTTTTTAATTTATTTTCAAGGTTGTCATGCCTAAACGCAAGAGATGTCCAGTATGCCATGAAGACTTTCCTGAGAGGAGCTTTTATCGCCACTATTCCAGCTACTATGACTCGGCAACTAATTCATGGTTGGATCATGGCCAAGAGGCAGACAGAACAATTGCCAGAGAGGAATCAGAAAGGAGATTCAACAATCTTCTTGCAGATGTTGCAAAAGCTACAGATTTCCCTGGTAAAGTATTTTATCAAGTTTATATTTTTCAAACTTAAATATATTCAACAACTTTGATGAAAAGCTATGTATAACTGATACAGAAGTCTCAGTCACTTGTTACTTAAGTAATTTAAATATAGGTTTTTCCTCTTGACTAACCATATACATGAACTTGCAAATATCTTCTTCAACCATTCAAATTGGACGTCTTAAAACATGTGTCCTCGTGAATGTAAACATTGTAAACATTGCAGACACCAGTACAAAATAGAAGAAAATACTTTCTTATCTCAAAGTTGTTTTTTGGTCCTATCCTTTGAGAAAACAAGGTTTTACTGTAAAGCAAGATCTATGAATACTCGGTTAGCCAATTAAAAAATATGGGAATTGGACATCTTGGTACAGATAAAATTCTTATTTAATAAGGTTAAAGCTTGTGGCTAGTAAAGTGTTTTATTACAATAATAATGTGTTACAGTAATTAAATTTTCTAAAAAAAAAAATTTTAGACGCAGAAGAAGAAAAATGTTGTGATGACCATGGTGGCATTAACATCCCAACCAGTTGTCCAACAGATGATGTTCCAGAAGAAAGTGATCAGGTATGAAATACTATGCAAAAATTATCAAGTTGGTAAAAAATTTCAAAATGACAAACCTGTTCTTTTGAAAATTGATTAGCACTACTTTGAAATTTTTGAAAATATTTTATCTGCATGGAACAAACTTTTTAACATCCGTTAGGTGTTAAAATACGTTATAAGAGGTGTAATTATGTAACCGGACCAAATTTTAAAAAGTTAACTGTCTAAGGCGTGTTGCACCTTAGTTCTTACGGAAAGGTCACTATGACCTAGATGATAAGTTTAAGAGTATTGCAGTATCCTTATGAAAAATTGACTTAGAGGAAACATTGAAGAACAATATTATCCATATCAGTTCCTTTTACATTGCATTGCACACCTGCAATAAAATACTTAATAAATGCTTATTTTGTAATTATAGTCTTCCGGAACTGAAGACAATGACGATGAAGATGATGATGACGATAATGAGCCAGAACACTGGGACATCCCTGCTGACTGTCTGGATGATGACTTGGGAATTGATGTTCAGCCCTCCGGTCTTAAGACCATCAACAGTTTGTTGTTTTGTGTTGTGTATGCAATTTTATATTTGCAAGCAGTACATCATATAAGCGACAATGGCATTGAGTATTTGTTACGATTTTTGTTCAAGATCTTTCAAATTTTTGGAGCCAATGTTAATAACCAACTGTTATCCGAGTTTTGTATTGGCTTTCCACCAAGTCTGTACCTTGCAAGAAAGTTTTTGAAATTAGATAGAGATGATTTTAAAAGATATGCTGTTTGTACATCCTGTCATACTCTGTATGAAATTTTTGATTGTGTTTTTGAAAGAAATGGTGTCAGGTATGGAAAACAATGTCAGGCAGAATTAAAAGTTCGTGGTAGATATATTAAGTGCAACACACCTTTAGTTAAACAAGTTATTTGTAAGGGCAACGTTCGGAAATATTATCCTATCAAAGTATATTGTTACAACAGTATTATTTCAGGGATTGAAAGAGTTTTGAAAAGAAAAGAAATTAAAGAAGTTTGGCAACATTGGCGGGATTGGGAAACTGAAACTGAACTTTTGAGGGATGTGTATGATGGGAGGGTTTGGAAAAATTTCATGTCTTTTAATGGGGTTCCCTTTTTGTCTGAATTACCGAGCATTGGATTAATGATGAATATTGACTGGTTTCAGCCCTTTAAAAACCGTAATGATTATTCAGTTGGTGTTATCTATTTTGTTTTGCTTAATTTACCACGGAACATCAGGTTTAAATCAGAAAATGTCATAGTAGCAGGACTTATTCCAGCATTTAAGAAAGAACCACACAGTATTAATTCTTTTTTAAATCCCATTGTTGAGGAGTTACAAGTGCTATGGAAAGGTGTACGTTTGGAATCAAGTTTTTTAAGTGCTGCATCTGTCTTCAGGGCAGCTTTACTTTGTGTAGCATGTGATATACCTGCTGCTAGGAAGTGCTGTGGTTTTAAATCCCACGCAGGTAGATTAGGATGCCATAAGTGCTTTAAAATTTTTCCTGGAGATTTTGGCGAAAAAAGGGATTATTCTGGCTTCGATAGGAAAAATTGGAAACCAAGGACAAAATCTATTCATAATTTATATGCTAGACGGGTAAAGAATGCAACTAGTAAATCGCAAGCTGAAAAGTTATCCAGAGATTTTGGAACTTACTATAGTGTTCTTATTGAATTGGAATATTTTGATGCCATTCAATTTTGTGTAATCGATCCTATGCACAATTTGTTCTTAGGAACAGCAAAAAAAATGTTCAAGCTTTGGGTTGAAAAAGATATTCTATCATCGGAAAGTTTAGAGAAGGTTGAGGAAAGACTAGCATCTATAAATTCTTTGACGGATATAGGTCGAATTCCAACTCACATTTCTGGAAACTATGGAGTTTTCTCTGCTGCTGAGTGGAAAAATTGGACAACAATTTTTTCTTTATATGCTCTTTGTGGTATTTTACCAGATAAACATTATAAATGCTGGGAAAAATTTGTCTTAGCTTGCCGGATTCTCTGTAAGCCATTTGTTTCAATCACTGATGTACAAAAAGCAGATTTATTATTGTTGGATTTTTGCAAAACATTCGAAAAAATTTATTTCCTTAAAGACGTTACCTGTAATATGCATTTACACAATCATTTGAAAGATTGTTTGTTAGATTTTGGACCAATCCATGTATTTTGGTGTTTTTCTTTTGAAAGATTCAACGGTGCATTCGGGTTTTTCCACACAAACAATAAAGCAGTTGAAATACAATTCATGCGAAAGATTATGACATCCAAATTTTGCGATTCTTTTAAAGAAGTGTTACAATTTCATAATGAGTTTGGTCTATCAGATATCTTCTTTGGTGAAACTCAACAGATTGACAAACCGTGTAAGATAACAGATATGATTCAGTTCTTGAAAGCCTCTGAAGCTGTCTCATTCCCATTTGCTTCTGTTGACGTTATGCAATTTGTTTCATTACCCAAAGTTTTTAAAGTAGTTGCTCTCGACAAAGATGATATTGTTATTTTAATGGCTTCATACAGAAAAATGTTTCCATCTGTTTCTTTAAATGTAGATGACATTGGGGAAGTAATTAAAAAGTTTGGCTATGTCACAATTTTAGGTGAAAACTTTGGATCTAGACAACTTCATAGAAAGTTAAGGTCTTCAGATATCTTAGCTTGTTGGGATACAGAACCCGGTGAAAATATAGGCCATCCGACAATGGATCTTCATCCTTGTAGAGTAGATTTTTATTTTACACATACTGCTATTGTGCAAGGGAAGACTTTCACAAATATATTTGCCAAGGTGTCTTGGTACAAAGAGTACACAGAACGATTTAAGTATGGAAGCGCCCTACAAATGTGGCATTCTGATAAGTTTGAGTCTAGTAGACAGAACTGCTTTTTACCAGTTCAGAAAATACACAGTAGATTTTCAAAGGGAATTACTGGGCAAAGCAAAGACTTAATGTGCGTCTGCCCAATTCCTAGACGGGTTTTAAGTGAAAATGACAAGTAACAGAAAACATTTAACAGAGCTGTTTTGAAATACACAAATGTATGTGTGCCGGGATATATATAAAGTAGGGTCATTAGCTGAATCTTGAACTAAGGACAAATAATTATGCTTTTGGAGTAGAAATCAAGATTTCTTGATGTACTATCTTGTCATAGTGCTACTCCAAAACATGAATTATTTAACTTATTTTTGTACTGTTTATTATATGTAGACTTTTATATAATTGTATAGCCTCTTATTTTTCATATGCTCATGCTCATGCATTGTATCTTGAACATTTGATAGTCTAGCATGCTTTTGGAGTAGAAATCAAGATTTCTTGATGTACTATCTTGTCATAGTGCTACTCCAAAACATGAATTATTTAACTAATTTTTGTACTGTTTATTATATGAAGACTTTGTATAAATTGTAAAGACTGTTATTCTTCATAATGCTAATACTCGTACATTGTAGCTTGACCATTTGATAGTCTAGCATGCTTTTGGAATATAATCAAGATTCCTTTATGTGCTTTTTCACAACATATTGAACATATTACTTTTATTTCTACATGAATTATATTTAGAATTTATTTAACAATGCATTGGTTCACACTTTAGTATAAAATTTGGATATGAAATATTAAAGTGTGATTGGAAAATGTTGTAGACGATTTTTTTAAAAAAATTTATTCAATGAGCAAGGGCAATAAATATCAAAAAATGTTTTTGGTGCTAGTTTGATTTTTCATTTATCATTATGCTTTGTAAGCATAAACAGATAGTTTTTTTAAAAATATCCTTGCAGATAGTTTATTAGGATTTTTTTAGTTGTATTTATGAGGCCATTGATTAAAAAAAATGTTTGATGCACATTGATTTACCTGATAACCATTAATTTTATTATTTAGATGAAAATTCCGAGCAATAGAACATTTAATATGTCTTGTAATGAAAGTCATTATGAAGATTTTTGTATATGATTTTTAAACATTACTTAAGGAGCTCAAAATTTTGTTTTAAAAATTACAAACATTCAGGTCAGAGAACTTTTTTTTTTAATAATGGCCTTTTTTTTCCCTAGATATTTCCATACCTGACACCTGCATATCTTATTTTCCTTGAATTACATTTTTAGTGCATACTTTTTGGTTTGAAGGAAAAAAAGCAAATTCTGTAGTTAGATGTGTTATGCTTGTATGTGTACTTAAACGTGTTTATAGCAAATGAGAATTTTGTTAAGCTCATATAATGCGATGCAGTTTTAAGATGTATCGAACAAAATGAGAAGAGATAGTAAAATACTTTAAGCCAATGAATCGACAAGAGAGCATTGTTTTCAAATGTATTATTTGATTTAAGCCAGATTTTTGTTTTGGTTAAAGACATGTATTCATTGCTTGTCATTTTTACCATGGTAATATCTACAAAACAGAAAGTTTATTTATTTTTTTTACTTTGTATTTATGAGTAATTCCATTCTGTTTACCAAGTGAATTTTTGTCTTTATAATTAAGGATATCTCTTTGGTGTTTGTTTTTATTTTCATTTAAATGCTATACTGTACATCTGCATTTTGTAATCATAGTAATTATAACTGTCCTGATGAAGAAAAATGGATGGTTTACTATTATGCAACAAATTGTTTTACATCTAAATTGAAAATGAATAAATGAATGTTCAATAACTCAATGAATTGTGTTTTGATTGATTTTGATGTTGCTTTTCACTGCTTGAGGATTAGTATTGCAAAGAGAAACATTTGAATAATCACACATGTAATTTAAAAATACATGGAATGTAAAACAAATCAAAAAAGTAATGTTTTACTGTTAGATTATAAAGAGCCTGAGAGCAAGTTAAATATTGTAAAAATTCATTTGTTATTGTTTTTCCCTCCATTTCACAATAGTTGTCAACTTATAATAGTAATTTTATATTATATTTTTTAAAGAAAAAATAATTATTTTAAAATATCCTTTAAAAACTATATGTTGATAAAGAATATATTCAATACTCTTTTTTTCTTAAAAAAAGAAGGTTGCGGATTTCAACATAAACTATATGTTGATATTAAAATCAGCAAATTTTTACCTTTAAATAAAGGGGGAACTGAGGAATACCAGTATATTGCTTGCTTTCGAAAGAAGACAACATGAGTAAACATTTTTTTACTATTAAATATGTAAAACAGGATCAAATTCCGGTGTTGATAAATCCAGTTATATGTAAAAAATGAATTAAAATCCCAAGAAAATTACCTATTATTAAAATATGGCTGTTTTGTAGGTATATGTGAATGGCTAAATATTCAATGAAATGTATATGTGAATGGCTAAATAGTTGATGAAAGTTGGCCAAAGGACTGATGAGACATGATAAAGATTGGCTATATAAGCACTGCAACAATGTTGAATAATGACTGAAAATAATCAAAGGGATATAATGGTCACTGAAAGAAAACAGTTGACTGAAAGGCCACTGAATGTTGGCGGAATGGTCACTAAAAGGTCACTGAAAGTTAGCGGAATGGTCGATGAATGTTGGTTGAAAGGTCACTGAAAGTTGGCTGAAAGGTCACTAGATTGTCACTGAATGTTGGCAGAAAGTTGACTAAAATGTCACTGAATGTTGGCTGAAAGTTGACTGAAAGGTCACTGAATGTTGGCTGAAAGGTCACGGAAAGGTTACTGAGATTTGGCTGAAAGGTCAATGAAAGTTGGCTGAAAGGTAGCAGAATGGTCACTGGAATTTGGCTGAAAGGTCACTGAATGTTGGCTGAAAGGTCACTAAATGTTGGCTGAAAGGTCACTAAATGTTGACTGAAAGGTCACTGAATGTTGGCTTAAAGGTCACTGAATGTGGCTGAAAGGTCACTGAATGTTGGCTGAAAGGTCACTGAATATTGACTGAATGGTCACTGAAAGTTGGCGGAATGGTCACTGAAAGGTCACTGAAAGTTGGCTGAAAGGTCACTTAATGTTGGCTGAAGGGTAACTGAAAGGTTGAAGGAATGGTCACTGAAAGGTGATGGAATGGCCACTGAAATGTACCTGCCATTCAGTGACTGAAATGTCACTGAAATGTTGCTGAAAGACATCTTTCAGTTTCAACTGAAAGGTCTCAGTTCTTCCTGTGTAAATTATTTAAATTTTGACCCCCCCCCCCCTTCCCAAGTTTCTCAGATGAGTAATTTGGCCCATGGGCCTCTTTTTTGACACTTTAGTACTTATAAGGTCATGTTGAGTGATTTTGTAAAATTTAAACAATTTTTTATTACAGTCACATTTAGTGTTGGAATTCAAATATTAATACCTGAATTTATGATTCTTTTCCAAGCATTTGTAAACATAGTTTGGGAATCTGACAAAAATTATTTTACCGCGACGGGGACAGGTAGGTGACTAAATTCCCGCAGAGGGAACTCGGTTTACCTGTCTCACCTGTCCAAATACGGCGTTGTGATTATATCACGACGGAGCGTGGGAAATACGGGATCCGCGTTGCAGGTACAGTACTGTAAGCCCCTATAATTAAACATGTTTGAATCAAGTCCCGATTTACACCAAGAACAGTGCCAACACAATAAAAAGATTTAATACAATGTGGTACAATAAAAGTTAAAAACAATCACTTCTCACAGGAAAATGCAACATTCAAAATAACGTTAATAAAATTCTTATATTTATTTTAAAGGGACCCCTAAAATGACACTTCACGTTCTGAAAAACATCAAGATGAGACGGTTTGCTAACGGCACGCAATTTGGAACCACATACGTTGTGTTTTCAAACACTGCCTACAGAACAGTCAAGGCCTTGCTCATACTTGAGAAACACCACCAAAGCTGTCGAAGCTGGTCAGAATAATGTTGTCCTAAGGTTGTGACATTGTCTGATGACATACAATTTCAGTATTCAATTACAGTATAATAACAAAATTGTGAAATTAACTTTGATCATATTTCCAAAAATTAATATTAAGAATACAGCAGAGGCAATGGCACTCAGTGTTCAAATGCTTACATAAGTGTAAAAAAGGTTACTAGGCCATCTTTACACATTGAAAACTCGATGGATTTATCATCTATTACCCGAACATGACAGGCCAAAAAGGGATGCTCAGTCATTCTTCCTTGGCATCTAATCCCAGCTCTGATGAGTTTGACATCCGTGTAAATTTGCTTAGACAGTTGCTCCTATGTGGTCAAGTTTAATTGACAGTTGAGCAGGAGAAGTAGTGAAATCTCGACAGGAGCCAATGTAAATATATATATATACCCTCATTTCCTGCACATTACCCTCCTGAGTTGCGAGATGTAAAGATGTATTAAGTACAACTCCCTCTGCAAACTGAAGAATAAAACAAATTTATTCAAGGCATAAATAATTAACAATTTACAATATATGATTTCCTATAACTTAGATGCTGCAATGTGTATTCCCATTTTTTTTTATTGTCCTTTAAGCAAGTGTCTTGCAAGCCGAGGAATCTTCGATGGTGATGGATTTGGAGATTTCCTGGACAGATTCTATCCTCTCTCCTACCGCAGAAAGCTTAAGCATGACATTTGACATGTCAACTTTATGCATGTCATTTTTTTTCTTGATTTCATTTAAGTTCTCAACAAGGACTTCCTTGTTTTAGACCTTCTTCTCAAGCTCTGCATCATTCCCCAAACTCACTGCCTTTTTTTGTCTTTGGATCTTAAGATTATCAGTCCTTCCCATCCTGTTTCTAATTAGGGCCCCGCAAGAATTTACGGGTGGCTTATAGTAATCACTCTGTCCGCCCGTCTGTCTGTCTGTCACTCTTCCGTCCACAAATTTTCTGGGTTTTTTTCTAATAATTTTTTTTATGGTTGCCCAGTCAAGTTCAAATTTGGCATGGTAGTTCCGTAGACAGGAATACAAATTTTGATGCTAAGTTTGGTTCTCTATGTCTTCTGGTTTAGAGCTGGGGTGGTGGGGTAGATTCCTTAACTATGCATAAGAATGAATGGACAACTTTTTTATGATTGCACAATCAAGTACAAATTTGGTATGGTAGTTCAGTAGGCAGAAATACATATTTTGATGCTAAGTTTGGTTCTTTATGTCCCCTGGATTGGAGCTGGGGTGGTCGAGTAGATTCCTTAACTTTATATACCAAAGCATTGGCAAAGAGAGATAACTGCTGAAGATGTTCCCATTGTAAATTGAATCCTGCTATGACTCTCTCGGGATTAATTAGCTTTCCTCCTGAAGAAAATCCAGAACATTGTCTTTATCTGTCAAATTGAGATGAATTACCACCTCTGTCTACAAATAAGTTTGTTTTGAAGTTAAGTCAATTTGGAATGCTATGACACTCTGAAATGTGGATTAAAATATAATTTTTTTATAAATTATTTTTGTTTAATATAGTTATGATTTCATTGAATTCTAATAACAAGAAAAAAAGATAAAAGAAGAATTTTTGATTTGCTTTTTTCACTTTATGTTAATTTAAGAATCTTATAAATTTTTAGGAGAGTTGTATAAAAACCCCATTCTATCATTAATACTGAAAAAGTTCTCTTTGTAACTTTAGAAGAAAATGATGAGAGAGGTAGTCAATTAATCCCTTGGGATTAATATTATCTAGCCTGCTGCAGAAAATTTAGTAGGCTTTTCTTTATCTGTCTTTGATTAATGAAAACCTTTGTCTGCAACTGCTGTTGTTTGAAGTTAAGGTCAAGCCTTCATGATATTTGCATTCATTGAAGCCTGGCATTTT